GCAAGGGCGCGTGACGGGTGCGGCGGGCGGCAGCATGCCCGCGGCGCTGGCGGGCTACGGCAGCGACTCGTCCGGGTCCGGCAGCGGGTCGGACTCGGACTCGGAGGAGGACGAGGCGGCGCGGGAGCGCGATCGGATCCGGGCGGAGCGGAAGCGGGAGCGGGAGCGCGACCTGCGCATGTCGAACATGGGCACCGAGCAGCGCGCCAAGATGCTGGCCAAGGAGCAGAACCGCGACATCTCGGAAAAGGTGGCGCTCGGGCTGGCCAAGCCGACGACGTCCAAGGAGTCGATGATGGACAGCCGGCTATTCAACCAGGAGAAGCTGTCGAGCGGCTATGGGGAGGAGGACGGGTACAACCTGTACGACAAGCCGCTGTTTCAGGGTAGCAGCGCTGCGGCGGCCATCTATTCGAGGCCGGCGGGCAAGTCGGGTGGGGTCGACAACGTCTATGGCGGTGGAACGGCCGAAGGGTTCGACGATGAGCTCAAAAACGACCGGTTCGGTCTGGGTACCAGCCGTACCTTTGAGGGTGCCGAGCCGCAGGAGGCGAGGGCGGGTCCGGTGCAGTTTGAAAAGGACGCATCGGACCCGTTTGCCATCAACCAGTTCCTCGACGACGCCAAGCGCGGGACGAAGCGGTCCGGTCTCGAAAGGTGAGAAGGCGCCGTCGCCGTCAGCCCCCGAAGCGTTGGAGCCTGTTCCGCCCCAGGTGCTTTGCTGTGCGACGCCGTGATGCTGACCGGTCATCCTCACTACCCCCCCTCTCTCGATGCTCCCCACAGCGCCGAGGTACGCAAGCGACAAAGAGACGACGAAGAGTGATCGCCGCGCCTCTTCTCCTCCACCACCCAACCGTCGATCACACGTTATCGCGCTCGCGCGCATTAGAACTGTAGCGTGCTGTGCAGAAACCGCGTCGATTCGGCGCTACCATCATCACCGCCCCGGCCACTTTGCCTTTCTGCGCTTCCACTGCTCTCGGGTCCCCTCTGCTCCCTGCGGCCACCTGCTCATTCGCATAGGCTCGATATATACAACACACAGACCCGCCGTCGTTCTATGCAAGGGGGTTACGGTGGCTCCGATGTTGAGGTCGCCGTCGATTCCATGCTGCGTCCCCGCATCTAGACCGTGGCGATGATCTCGGATGCCGTCTCGAGCGCAGAGATCTGTCGAAGCAAAGAAGAAAGAAAGAGGACGAGGTTAGCGACGGAATGAGGCCGGGCCACGACGCCCAGCGGGGCCAGACGCCACGAGCGGGGCCGCCACTTACCATCTTGACGCACTCCCTCCTGCGTGTGACGACGTGGTCCGACTCCTTCATCAGGTCGTCGAGAACCTCGGGCCGGTAGAGTTCCTGGAGCAGCTCGCGCTGCAGCGAGTCCTTTGCGTGGGTGACGAGGTTGAGCATGATGCACTTGGGCACCATCGAGATGGTCTCGACCTTGACGACGTTGAAGTAGCTGTTAATCAGCAGCTTGACGACCTCGGTCTCGAGCTGCTCGCGCTGGCTGAACTGGCCCGACGCCTTGAGCGACGGCGGCGGTGCCTCCATGGCCGCCTTCTTCTGGCGCGTCGCCTGCGTCGCCTGCTTGCCCTGGAAGAAGCTGCCAAAGAAGCCGCCTTCGTTCTTGAGCGTGACGTCGAGGTCCTTGTCGTTGTTGACGGCGTGCGGGTTGGGCTTCTTGGGGTCGTGGGCCGGCTGGACGGTCGGGTTGAGGCGCTCGTTGACAAGCTCCATGGCGCGGTGGCCGCTGATAAAGTCCGGGTGGCCCGTGTTGAGGTAGGTGGCCTCGGCGGCCACAAAGTCGGTCACCAGCTTGGTCGTGGGGCCCATGCACTTCTTGAAGAAGTGGATGACGACCTGGTTGAAGCGCTCGCGCAGCTGCGGGAAGCGCCGGAACGACTGGTTCTTGTTGAGCAGCTGTGCGAGGATGCGGACCAGCTCGTCGTAGACGAGCGAGCAGCACTTGATCGAGGGGTCCTCGAGCCGCTTGATCTGCTGCTTGACAATCACCTCAAACGCCGTCGTGCCGACAAACAGGGCCGGCGAGGAGCCCGACGAGTTGTAGAGGATGGTGCGGATGTCCGAGTCCTTGACCATGTCGAACGGGTCGATGGCCTTGACGCCGTTGCTGTAGAGCTCGTGGAAGACAAACGAGATGCGCGCGCCGCCGGCGAGCTCGTTGATGCTGAGGTCGTTGGAGTTGCCGTCAATGACGGTGCGGAACTCGTTGCAAAACTCGGTGATGATCTGGAGGACGACGCTGGCCGAGTTGTTCTCGCCCATGGGCCCGCCGAGCGAGGCGAGCTCGGCCTGGAACTTGGCGAGCTGGGTGCCGATCTTGTTCTTGATGTCTGGCAGCGTGTTGCGGATGTGGTGCATCAGGATCGTGTTGAGCTTGCGCGCCAGGAACGGCGTGCCGCAGTACTGCGCCTTGCTGCGGTAGCTCGGGTGGTTCTCGAAAAAGTCCTTTTCCGCCGCCAGCGCGGCGCTGACGAGCTTCTTCTGGTCGATGTCCCTCTGGCCGCGGTTGACGACGGGCACGTAGCCGAGCCGCAGCGGGATGACGCGGCCGGCGAGGATGTCGACGACGTCGGTGCCGGCGTCCATCAGGTCGACCTTGGTGAGCACGCCGACGGTGCGGGTGCCCTCGGGGTCGACCTCGCGCGCCAGCTTGAGGCCGTCCGAGTTGGCCAGGTCCGTGTTGGCCGCCGTCACGGCGAGGATGACGGCGTTGGGCTTGGAGATGAACTTGAGCACCATGTCGCGGATCTGACGCTCAATGTCGCGCGGCTGGTCGCCGACGGGCACCTTTGTCAGGCCGGGCAGGTCGACGAGCGTCAGCGTGAGCACATTGGGGCTGTAGATGCGCAGGTTGATGGGCTGCGGGCTGATGCCGGCATTCTTTCCCGTCTTGAGCTCCGTGTCGCGCACAATCTCTTCGCGGATCTTGTTGAAGTCGTGGAACTTTTCGCCGGGGAGATGGAGGAACTCGCCCCACTCGTCGGTGTTGTTGGTCCCTTCTGCAGGTGCGGCTGCTGGCGACGGAGCGTGGAAGGGGATCGACGGGGAGCAGACGGTCAGACAAAGGGCGTGGCCCCAGCAGATGCGTGGCAGGAGCTGTCGGTTCACTCACCTTCTCCGTTCGCCTTTGGCGCTGCGGGGCGGTTGATGAGCTGGAGGACGAGCGGCCTTCGGGTGACGATGCCGGTACCTCGAGGAAGGAAGTCGCCTGTGGGGCGGGGCGGGGCGGGTGCGGGAAGCGCGGAAGTCGTTGCTCGTACCGGTCAGCATGGTGCGCGCCTGGAGGACGTCCGCATGGCGAGGAGTGGCGCATTGTGCGGCGGCTGTTTGGCACTCACGTCCTACGATGTTCTCGAGCACACTGCTCTTTCCCGACGACTGGCTTCCCAGGACGGTGATCTGGGGCAGGTCGATGGGGTTCTGGATGCCGACGTTGTTGAAGGCATCCTGGAGCTTGTTGACCAGCTTGATGAGGGACTGGTCCATGGCCATGGTAGCGAGCTGCGGTCCGGGGCGGGAGCCGGCGGTGGAAGGTGACTGGGTGGTGAGGTTGCGGTCGGGTTGAGTCGGGCGTCCGAGGCGGAGGTCGTGAGGGCGATACGGGGCGAAGCTCGCAGGTAGAAGAAGAACGAAGACGGAAGTGGAAGCAAGGCCGGGCCGTGGATCGTAGAGCAGAGGAGGTGGCGAAGGAGAGGGTGATGGCGACGAGACGGGGGCTGCGGAGCGATTGATGGGAAGGGAAGGAAGCCGAGGCCAGGTCGACAGCCCGATGCGCCAAAGTGGAGTTTGGTGGGGCTGCCTGCCAACGCAGGCCACCGACGACGGACGCACACTCACACGCACGCACGCCCGCCCGCCCGCTCGCCTGGCCTGGCAGGCCTGGCCAGCCCCAGTCCATGGGCCCGACCGCCCGCCCGCTGGCCCCCTGACTGCCGGCCAAAAATCGACGGACGGCGGGCCCTGGCCCCAGCCAGCCGCCGATGCGCTCGCGGTGTGCGTGCGAGCGGTAGGTGTTGGTTTGGCCTCCCCTGCCTCCCTCAGTGCGCGCACCGTCTGCCGGCCCGCTCGTCCTTTGCAAGAGGCTGTGCTCTGCCGTCGATCCCTGCCTCCGTTGGCTCCCTCCCAGCGCTGGACTGGCGGGCGGTCCGCTTGCTTGTTGCCCATCCACGCACGGCACAGAGGCCTGCGTCAGCCCGGGTCGGTCCGCTCCAGGCGCAGCGTTGTTCGCTCTGCCGGACATGGCCTATGTAGGTGAGCCCAGCAGGCCAGCCAGCCAACAGGCAGCCAGGGCCACCAGGCCGGGCGGAAGCAGAAGAGAGGCAGATCGGGCCAGCCGAAACCCAACGGGCGCTTGGCCTGGCCTGGCCTGGCCTGCCAAGCCTCAACAAGAGGTGGTCGACTCACGGCCGGCTGAGGACCAGGTTGGGCCTGACTGGGCGTGCGCAATTCGGTTCCGACGACGACGGCCCGCCTGGCCTGGCCAGCCCCCGCTTGGGCGTTCGCGAAGATTCGCCGGGGCTGCCAGCGCGGCACCAAAGT